TGCAAACTTGCTGAGGGTGCACTTGATCCCGATTAAAGTGAAACGACACCGAATGATCGATTAAACACTTTATTGATGGTAAAAAACAACTTGAACTTGGAAAGTGTAACGGCAGGCAACCTGAACATAGCATAATGGTAGGCAACGTGGGTTCTAATTGGAATACTTACAAGAGGAAAGGAAGAAGAAGAAAAGGAGAGAGAGAAAGAGAGAGATATCTCCACCCTTGGATCCCGTGATGTCGACAGTTAAATGTGGCAGTCCTTCAGTAGTGGGCACACTGCTCTTGGAGCACAGGGCCTCCAGCTGTGCCAGCAGTGCCGGCACCGCGTGGGAGAGGCAGGTCTGGAGCAGCAGCAACAGCAGCATGGAGTCCTCAAAAGTTGTGTCTTTTATAGGCTAGTCCCCACCTCTAGTCTCACCCCCTTGAGGACTTACACGGTTCTTGTTCCAGAATGTTCTTCATCTTCTGCACAGGTGCAATTGGGGGGGGTGGTAGCGAGGGGTCTTTTGGGTGGTTGTGAGCCCCCTCCTCAAATGAACTCTGGTCACATGTGGTGAGTTGTAAGGCACAGTAGAAGGCGGAACTGCGCATCCTCCAATGGGCCCTCCTGCCTCTGTGCCAATGGGCTTCTCACCTGTGGTGCTATGCAGACCCCAGTCTGGTGCTATGGAGACCTTAACTTGTCTCTTTGCAGACCTCAACTTGTCTCACCACATTGTTTGAAGCATTAACTCTTTCAGTCTCTCACAATATCATGTACTCCAGCCCAATCATCTTGGTCTCCCTCCAGTAAACTCACTGCAATTTGCCAGTGTCTCTTGTACTGGCGAGCCCCAAATTGGACACAGCATTCCAGATGTGTCTCCCCAATGCCAAAATTCTCCATGAAGTAGCTTCAGCGTGAGGCCGTGGGTGTGTATATGCAGTCCACAAGGCACCTCATCTTGCTGCTTTGTTCCCTGTGCCCCTGGATAGTCTGCTCAACCAACAGCGGCACTTCTTTCGTCCAGTTACCATGCAGGTGTTACCTTCACTGCTTCACCCCTTGCACATTTCTATCCCTTTCATAGCCAGAGCCACCAGTTTCCAGAGTTCCCAGTTCTCATTCCTTTGTAGGTAGCCTTACCCTGCTTAATAGCTAATCTTCCCTTTCCAGTATTTTCTCTTTCACTTCTCATCTCAGACTTCAGTTTGTCAGGGTAGACAAGCCAAGATCATTCTGATTTCTTTTCAGGTTCTCTCTTTC